TATATATATATATATATGTCTCTACAAAGGCCAAACGGTCTTGACAAAAAAAATACAAAAGTAGAAAAACAAGAAAAAATATACAAGGTACTTAAACGAACCCTCGAAGTCTTGGAGTCTCCGCTCCAGGCTCCATCCGAACGCTCGGAGTCTTCTTCGTTCTCAGGATACGCCAACTTCTTGGCCTCGGCTTCGAGTCCCTTAGCATTTTCGACCTCGGCCGACAAATCAAAACCCCGAGCATGAACTTCTTCGAGGGCCTCCCTTGGGGACTGCCACTTTACGTACTCGAAATATCTTTCAGGCAGTCCTGGGATGCCTCGGCATCGGCTTTAAACTTGGCCATCATCTCGTCAACATCGGCTTTGGTTACTTCAACTACCGACTTGGCCACCTTAAGCTCCTTGGCAAGGGTCTCTTGATGAGAAACAACCGTGCTTAGCTGAGACTGAAGCTCCTTAATCTTTTGGAACCGTGCCTCAGCCTTCTCCCTCGTTGCTCGAAGCTGGACCTCCGCCGAGGTCAACTGCGCCCGGGCAGTCTCCTTTTCCGAGGCTAGGCGATCCATCCTTCCTTTCTACTCTTCGGCCTCGACCTTGACTGCATCCATCTCAGCTCAGAGCTGGTCGATCCGATCAATCTTCTGTTGAACGTGCGAGTTCTGACAATTAGACACTGTGTCTAGCTCATCGTCACTAACTTCAAAAATGTTTACCTGTTCAACCAGGTCGGCGTGTTCTTTCCGAGCCGCTTCTAACTCGGCTCAAGGCTCTTAGCCTCTCCTTCACGCTGCTCGCTGAGAAGTTTGTACGTGTCTCTCTTCTCGGCAAGCTCTCTGACTTCGGCTTCGAGTTGGTTCAGCTCATCTCGGTACCGGAGGAAAGTTTTATGGTGAAGCACCGAGGCCTTCAAATACGAAGAAAAATGTTAGGATCACAATGAATTAATTCAAGTATAAAAGGAGAAATTGAAATCATCGAGAGCTATCTAAAGTTACCGGGTTCAAAACCTGTTGTGATTCGTTGAACAGGCAGCGCGCGTCTACCTCGTTCATTTTGGCCTCGTCTTTTTCGGTCACCAGACACCGAAGGTAACTGGCCACCCCTACGGGGGCGGAGAGAACCCAGGCATCCTCCGGAATAGTAATGACAATAGTCGCTTTCGATCAGGATCCACACTCGGGACAGGGAATCGGTTGACCAATTTCGGGCTCGAGTTAGGCCCGCCTACCCCCGAGGTCGGACTCTTCCTCGGTACCTCTATGTCACCCAATCCAGTGACGTCTTCCATGGCGGTGGAATCCATGCCATAAAAAAAGTAGCGACGGGGACGTCCGCTCTGTGGACCCCTTCGTTGGGGCTTTCTTTCACCGCTTGGGCCTCGTTGTACATGGATTCCGTGAACGAGGGCGACTCGGTGATGTCTATCACACCGTGTACCTCCTTCGGGATATTGCTCGCATCCCGGGAAGCCTCGGCCCTTGCCTCCTCATTGACCTCCCTGGCTTGAGGCAGATCTGCCTCATGGATGTCTGGTTCGTAGGCCCCCTGCTTTTCCAGCTACGATGGCTCGCGGGCCACTAGAACATAAGGTTATTCTTCTTCGGATTCGTCCCTCAGCCGATGATCGAATCCGAAGCTGGTGCTCGGGCGCTGGTGTTTTCTTTTGACTTGCGTATCAGCCTTCTCCTTGTTTTCTTTTCCTCCGAGCTCGAGTAACTCGGAGCCCTCTTCCTCTTCTTCTCTTCGGCCTATCTCGGAGCAGGGGACTCGGTAGGAAAGTCCTCGCCACCAACTGGAGGCCTCAGCTCGACATCCTTGGATAAACTTGCAAAAATAAGTAAAGGGAGTAAGGACTTAATGTAGAAAGGAGAATCCTAATACTACCTACTCGGGAAAGAAGTCTCGTCAAGGGAACAAGCCTCCCAACGGCCTTTCGAGAGTTTGAGCCACGAGTTTTCGGAGTAGGGCATCTATGATACGATACCCTCGACCCACTCTTTGAGTCAAGGGACATCATTTGGGACTCGAGCGACGGCTGCACCACCACGAAACACCGATAAGAAAAAAAGAAGTAAGTATGAAATCAACATTCTAAAGTAATTTACACTTACGTGATGTATTTCACTTCTCGGGGAATAGCCTGCACTCAACTGGGATCAAGTCCGAAGTCCTCACTCGGACAAAATGGCCTTACCGGCACCGATCTCGATCCTCATCAATACTTGAGAATGAGGCTTTACTGGCCCGACTCACGAGCTTTATCAGTCCCCCCGAAAGATTCAGGGACTGTATAAGAGAAGAAGATGGTAGATGGTGAACGAGCACCCATCAATTTTGTTCACACAGAACCGAAGGAGGATCACAATCCTCCACAGTGAATGATGAATCTGACCAAAGCATACCTCCTATCTCTTACAGAAATCTATAATAATCGGGTCCACCGAGCCCATTGTAAAGGGATAAGTGTAAACACTTAAGTATCCCTCGACATAGGTGGTAATGGCCTCATCGGGGTCGGGGACCACTATGTATTTATCAGCCCAATTGCAATATTTTCGGACAGTAGGGAGGACCTCTTCGGTGATCGAGTAGATGTATCTCGAGACCTCCTCACATTGGCCCTATACTGAGGATGGCTTTTCGACCTTGAAATCGACGTTGACCGACCATCCCCCGGGGATGAACATATTCAAAGGAGGTTTAGGTACTGGTTCGTCGACGGCCGCGCGCGGAGCGGTCTCCTCAGCCTCAATAGCTGGCCGCGAAGAAGAAGGAGTTTCTTTCTAGGGAACGATTTTGGAAGTTTTTGCCATTTCTTTAGAGAATGAAAATGAAGAAAATCTAAGAAAAGAGAAGAAAGAAAGGAAGTTGAAGGATTAGACTTTTTTGTTTGAGAATGAAGACGGGTAAAAATTCTTGCAAAGGACCTCGAATAATCAGGGTAAAAGTGCTAAAGAGTATTGAAATCTTAAAGGGACAATGGTAGAAGGTTTGGATGTAAAGTTAAAATGAACAAAGGAGGGGTAATTTATAGTAGTTCAGCGATATTTCGCATTCAGGGACGGTCGACCGGCGGCTGACATGCATTTAATACTATTATGATTTGACTGATGAGACATTTCGGTTGTTTTGTCGTTTCTGTCACGATGTATCGAAGTAAGAATCGAAAGTTCATGTCGTTTCTTGTCATTTACTCTCCAAAAAACGAGGGGACTATCTGTATACGGCTGAAATCGAGCTCATGGTGCATCCTAACCTCTGATAAAATAAGTCAGGCCCAAGACATGGCAACAAGGGACCGAAATCGAGCCGAAGTCCTACCGGGCTAGAACCCGCGGGCATGACGCCTGCCTTCGCGAATATCGAGGCCATGATCCCGGAATCGGTCTTAGCCTCGATCGATTTCGAAGGACATTGTCGGACAATCCAGCATAGTCAACAGAAGGCCGAAATATACGTAACCGGCCGAATATTACGGCGGGGATCTCGGCACGTATCGGTGAGGAACCGACAATCAGTGAACTAGAAGATTTTTTACCTTTTATAGAGTTGTACCTAAAATAGGACTCCCCTACAATATAAAGGGGGTCTGATAATTCATGAAACACATTGTAACACGCACTCAAAAGTAATTATATTGTTATTTTCTTTGTCTCCAGCTCTTGTTCTTTTTCGTCTATACCGGTCATAGTGAGCTCGGTTCTAGAGTGGCTATTTCATTAAGGCTAAAACTATCCAACTCATGTGGTTTGAATTTATTTTGTCTTTGCTTATTCAATAGCAACTTAATTTATCGCTTTGTATCGAATTAATCCGCGTATCTTTAAAATCACTTACAAATTTAATTATTATCCGATTTTGAAGGTAAATATACATATAGATAAAAATGTCATAGAGATTGCTAGAAAACAGTGAATTTCAAGAAGATATTAACCCAATAGATTATGCCACATAAATGTTTTAGAACACGAAGAAAATGATGACTTATTTTCCTTTACAACAGGAGTAATTGTCAAGACTATCAACAATTATATAGTATAATTGCTTACAAAATTATGTTCCAAAAGAAATGCATACCATGTGTCATCACTTCAGAAATTAATAATTGTATTATAGATTATATAGACGATATGGTTACCGCGTTCAATCAGCCACATATATGTAGAAATTATTAGCACCGCCCACCTCACATTTTTCCCTTTTTTTAGTTCGATTGAAATGTTAGCAACAGGAGAAATTAATGTGTTGAATTGTGAAAAACTGAAGTTATTTAATTTACTTATGGTCTAAATTAGAGTGCTTTTATGAAAAATGAATATATTAAGCTTATTAATGTTTAAGTTTAGGTGAATTAAACATATTTGGTGATTTGACTAATTAATTCGAGTAAATTTGATCACAATCTATAGCCAGATTATGTAAATGATTTTTCTTTGTGCTAATCATATTAATACGTAGTTATTTTACAAACATACGAACAAAATTCACACAAGAGTTAGTATTTAATTATTGCACTCTTAATATTTTTCTCCACCGATAATTATAAGAGGGTGGTTAAGGATTGGATGTATATAGAGATTTGAGAGAATATATCAGCTTCACCAGTGTTACAAGGATTGGGTCACTAACTCTTGACTAAAAACAATACCCATAGGACCCAATAGTTGCATAATTGCAAAGACATGGAGTTGGTCCAACTAAAACCTATAATTAGTGATTAGCACGTTTATTTGTGTCACTTATATGTGTCAACTTGTAATTATTCTCCTTCTTCCATAATCCCATTTCTGATTTTGCTTTCAATTCTCAATTAATTGTCCAAAGTATGGAGCTTCACTTTTGGAGAAACTTCAGTACAGCTCAAAGAACTCCAAGAATAGTAATCCTTGTTTCTTTAACATTAATCATTCTTGGTCTTATCCCTCTTTACCACCCTTTTAATTTGTATGCTGCAGATGTAGTAGTAAATCATTCTTCTAAAGCATCACAACCATATCATACTGAGGAACAAAAGATAAAGATTGCGGAGGAGGAAGACACGTGTGATGTATTCATTGGAGACTGGGTTCCTAATCCAGATGGTCCATATTACACGAACACGACATGTTGGGCGATACACGAGCACCAAAATTGCATGAAATATGGGAGGCCTGATACTGAATTCTTGAAATGGAGGTGGAAGCCAAAAGGGTGCGAGCTGCCCATTTTTAACCCGTATCAGTTTTTGGATATGATGAGGAACAAGTCTATGGCATTTATTGGAGATTCAGTGGGAAGAAACCAAATGCAGTCTTTAATTTGCCTCTTGTCCCGGGTACGATAATTTCCCTCTTCTTGCTAATATTATATTGCTTAAGATATGCCTTTGATGTAGATATAAAAAAAATTGCTTATTCCTGCTCGTTTAAAATCCATAAATTTCTGGTTAATTTACATGACCTGATCACAGACGGTAGCATTAGAGGAGGTTTGGTTTACCTAAGGATGGAGTATGGACAATGGTCAAAGTTTAGGTGAAATTCTATTAAAGCATCAAACTTTTTTCTCAATTTAAGTGCCCAATATATTCAAATCTTGTTGTTTTATTAATCCGAATTTCTATCAAATAAGCTTTCTAAGCTTTTATTGAAAGATTATTTATTTTCGAGACTCTGAATTTGAAATTTCTAATTATAAATTTGAATTTTTTTTTCAACAATTCCGACCAGTACATACTTGGTGCCAAGCACTAAGCACTTAATATATAGGTCGGATGGTAAGATATAGTAGAAAAACTGGAAATTTTATATTCTTCGGCTGAAGATGTTGGCGTGGGCTATTGCAATAATTCCAGTCCCGATATATATTAGCTGTGCGCGCTTGTGAACTTGATACAGTAGGCCGTTAAAAGCAGAACTAATCAAAGTTGTCTTTTTCCCATAAAAAGCAAAAAGCCACTTTGCTCGATGGATACTTTTGCAATTATGTCCAAATGAGCCAAAAGAAATAAAATAAAGCGATAATTGGAAGCACATAGAATCAAAGTGTCGGCTCATGGGAGAGGCAGCTAAAACAATTGTTTTAGGTCCCAAAGTTAAAAGCCCCCATTTTATTCATTATTAGTTAATATTATATTATTATAAAAGTATTATTGTAAAAAAATACTAATCTATGCCTTTTCTTTTTGGAAAGATATAAAGGTTATTTAGAAAAAAAATAGAGGTTATTTGGATTTTCATAATAAACATGCAACATAGCAATATAATAATTTGATGACGACATTGATAATAGGAAAATAAAAACAAAGTTTTTTGTAACATCTTTTAAAGTAGATTATTTCTTATTAAAAGTAGATCAAGTCATTCCTTTTAATTTCAAATAAATTTGAACTATTTCAAATCAATAAAATTATTTTAAAATCTACTTTGTTAGTACAAAATTAAGATTATTAGATGACGGGAACTTATGAAAATATTTTCTTAACGGCATATGTTTCTTATAAAAAAATCTGGAAGTCTTGATGAATAAAGTTAGTAGATGTCTTTGATGGTGGGAGCTAGCAAATAGCCAAGTGAAGGGTCAAAATACATAAAAGATGATTCATATACTATCATTACAAAACAAAAAAAGAAAGGAAATCATAAGTAAATAAAATTTTAACGTTCGACTTTAGGTCAATTTTGTTGAGCCGCCCCTGCATAGAATGCTAGCTTAGAGTTTGTCATATTGTATCGTTTAGTCGTGTTTAATATGTTTGCCAATAGTATATGACGAAAGATACTTGGCTAGTCGTGGGTCGATCCCTTAGAAAATATACTTAGAAAACAAGTTGTCACATTATGACAACTTGTTAGAGAATCCAATCCTGGGCAACGTGGGTTCCTTATCTCTTTCTACATTAAGAAATGAATCAAGAATATATCAGTCCCTTTCTTGATCTCTTTTTAAAATTTAGCTACATCCTTGATCTTCCTTTAAAGAAAATATAAATTTAAAATAAAACTAATTAAGCCCGAATTACATAATGAGTCATGAAAAAAAGTTACATAATGCAATAAAAGGTTTAGTGCTTTCACTCTGGCTTCTCATCACCGGTTGCGAAATACCAGGTTTTGTTACTGTTGTCAAGTGTACAAACAAAATTTTACATTAGAAGTTGATAAAGAAAATAAGTTACTATAATGTGCGTTTGAATAGTCATGATGTGAGGCATTTTGAAAAAATCATGCAAATGACTTTGAGTTGGTTTACGCTAACAACTAAAGCCTCACAAAAAATCATGTATCTATGACTTAAAACGAACAATATAACATCGTATTAAAAGTTGGTTGCCTTAACCAACAACTGCAAATGCTTGAATATGTGTTTCAACAAAAACAATGATGAAAATTAACTAATAAGTCACTAATTCATTTTGGATTATTTTTTTTGTTTTTTGTATTACAGGTGGAATATCCAGTTGATATTTCTTATGACGAAGATCAGAATTTCAAAAGGTGGAAATACACAACCTATAACTTCACCTTAGCAGCATATTGGTCACCATTCTTGGTCACAGTTAAAGAATCAGATCCTGATGGTCCAAGCCACACGGGACTTTTCAATCTTTATCTTGATGAACCTGATGCAAAATGGATAACCCAAATTGAACAATTCGACTATCTCATCCTCAATTCTGCCCACTGGTTTACAAGGTGCAGCATCTACTACGAGAAAAATCGAATAATTGGTTGTCGTTATTGTGGACTCCCAAATGTCACTGATCTTCCCATAAATTATGGCTATCAAAAGGCACTTAAGACAACTTTAGATACCATCAATAGATTAAAAAATTATAAAGGTGTTACTTTTCTTAGGACTATTGCGCCTTCTCATTTTGAAGGTGGTGAATGGAATAAGGGTGGAAATTGTGTTAGAAGAAGGCCATTTAGAAGCAATGAGACAACTTTGGATGGTTTAAGTTTGGAATTTTATACGACACAAGTTGAAGAATTTAAGATTGCATCTGAGGAAGGAAAGAAAAAGGGTAAGAGGTTCAGATTATTGGACATGACACAAGCCATGTTGTTGAGACCAGATGGTCACCCTAGTAGATATGGACATTGGCCTAACGAGAATGTGGTTTTGTATAATGATTGTGTACATTGGTGTTTGCCTGGTCCTATTGATTCTTGGAGTGATTTTTTGCTTCATATGTTGAAGTTGGAGGGCAGGAGAGCCTTTGAGGAAAGTCTTCAATTAAACTAAGGGAGGAAAATAAAAATCAATGCCTACCCTATTTTTTTATTTGTTTATTTATTTAAATTGTGTTATTATTTTGGTTTAATTTAAGGAGGAATAATATTACTTGACTTGAAAAGTTATAATAATTGACTAGGAAAATAATGTAAAGAAAGTACTATTAAGCTGAGCATGTATTATAATTTGATGATTAATAAATCGTATCTGAGAACTAGGTTTCATGTTCCAGTTTAGGGTGCTGCTAGATCAAGGTGCAGATAGGAGTGATGAATGTCAAGTGAACCAGGTACATAGCAGGTTGTTGGCGAATTTTGTTCGAACGTAAAAGGGCAGTATTCCTATGCGAGTTACAATTCCTACAAGATCATGTTTGTGTCCTAAAAGAAATACGCGTATTGGAGGATTTCGTGCACCAAAAGGAATTTGTATTAATGGAAAACACTTGTATGGAGAAAGAAGGTTGAAGAGTTGAAAACAAATAAGGAAACCAAATCTGAATAGGAGAGGTTTTCCTTAACCGAAATATTCTAGGTTTTCGAGCATTAATTGAAGAAGATTTCGGCCAACCTTGCACCTATAAAAGAAGACTTTTTGCCACACTTCAAGACTACTGCTATTGAGAGAAATTATTGAGAAATCTTTTGACAATAGAAAGCACATAAAAAATGTACTTTGTGAAGATTCAATCAAACCAAAAGAAGAACCAGCTCTTGAAGATGAAGTTGCTCGAGTTCTTTAGTTGTTAGGTTGAATCTAGTATTCTGAATTGCAACCTATTTGCTTTTAAAGAAGTGTAATAGTAGGTTATTTTTGAAACTTTATTTGTGTAAGTTTTCTGGGCTAACAGTTAGTCTGGAAAAGGGTTGCTGCAATTGGGTTGATTGTAGGGGTTAGATTATTAGAGTTAGTCTACTTGGTTATAAAATTATAACTTAAACCTACTCTTTGAAGTTTAGTGGCGATTTAAAGAAATTCCTACTGGGTAAGTCGTGGTTTTTACTCCTTTGAGCAAGAAGGTTTCCAACGTAAAAATATCTGTGTTGATTATTTTTCCATAATTATTTTTATTTGTGTCTATTTGGTAGTTCAAAGAACCAGGTTCTTTGAAATTAAATGCGAAAATCAGGCAAGACATAATTTAACACCTTCTTGTGTCTTAGTGTAGTCTAAAATAATATTTAGTATCAGAGCAGGTTCTTCTATAAGAGGCTAACACCTTGAAAGGATCCACAATGATTGCAGCACCAGATGCTCAAGAAGGACAATTAACTGTCAGGTCACCACTGTTTAATGAGAAATACTACAGATGGAGGAAGGAAAGGATGCGTAATTTCTTGGAAGGAGAAGACAAACTCTAGGACATTATTGAGAAGGGACCAAAGAATCCCATGATATTTGATGACAAGAGTGTCCCCACTAGACCAAAGCCAAGAGAAACATATTTTGAAGAAGATGTTAAAAGTGTTCAAAAGAATGCCAAAGCTGAGAAGATTCTAATATGTGGCATTGGTCCAAAAAAATATAATATAATCTATACTTGCAGAGATGCAAATGGCATATGGGATGCTCTGTAGTGTGTTCATGAAGGTACCTTTCAAGTGAAGTAGTTAATGATTGACATGCTAACTAGGCAATACGAACTATTCAAGATGAAAGAGGGAGAAACTATCCTGGAGATCCACACTAGGCTCACTTCAATTATTAATGATTTAATATCTCTTGGAGAATTTATTCTTCGTAACAAAATTTTAAAACAATTCTGAGTATATTGCCCTCTTCATGGGACTACAAGGTCAATACAATTACTGAAGCTAGAAACTTGGATACAAGGACCCTTGATGACTTCATTTGAAACTTGGAGACTTATGAATTAAAGCTAAATCGGGATTGTCTAGATCGACAAACTTCTGAACCTTTCAAGGCCAAGAACCTTGTGCTTAAGACCACTCAGAAACAAGATATTGAAGAGATGATATGACATTGCTCACTAGACACTTTCAGTGGGCAATAAGGAAGGGTAAATTCTTGAAGAAAGGAAGTTCACCAAAATCCAAGATTGTAAAGAAAAGTACAACACTTATAGGTGCTACAAATATGGAAAGAAAGATCACTTCATCAAACATTGTTCCTTGTAAAAACTTGAGTAGAAGAGGAACAATTCTGATAAGGGAAAGTAGCAGAAGAAAGACTGGGTTCCTGGATGAAGAATGACTAATAAGGCAATAAACAAACTTGTGAAAAGAGTTATGACTGCCATGTAATCATCCTCAACCGATGAGTCCAATAATGATTATGATGAAAATGAAGATGAAGATTAGTCATTGATGGCTAAGGAGGAGAGTGATTCAGAATCATAAGATCTCCTAGAATTGATGGCAAACTCAGACTCTGATGCCAATGAGGATGAAGAACCTGAGGTAAGTTTTCAAGACATCAAAGACAACATCCATACTTTCTCTAAAAAGAAATTAATTTCCGTGTTAGGTGTCTTGATTGATGCATACCTAAAGATTTTTTATGAAAAGGAACAGTTAATGAATGACTATGCATCACTTAGGCTTGAACATAAAGATATGAAAATAAGTAGAGAAAATCTTGAAGTCTTTTTAGTAGGTCTCAAAGATAAGATTCTTGTATTAGAAGATAAAAAAGGCTGCCTTAAAAATGAGAATAATAAATTTCTCAATACTCCAAATAAATGAAAGGACCTAGCTACAGATATACAGAAGAAACTAGAAAGTGATCTAAAAGAGGCAAATAACAAACTTTTAGTTAAATATGGAAAGGCTAGGACACTTCTAAAAAACCTAGATAAGTCCAAGTTTGAATTAGAATAGAACTTGAAATGGACCAGGTCTTCCCAAATAATATTCAAGATGCATAAAAACTGCAGTAATAACAATAAGGGTCTGTGACATACTAAGGCTAAGACTACATACAACCCACATAGTAAGTAAGTAGACATTCCTGGCAATCGTCTTTACACTCACTATGAAAATACTGGACACTTTAAATAAACATGCCCATTTAGAATCCAAGCAAGCTTAAAGAATGTTGCATATGTTGAGAAAAGGAAATTGATAAAACCTGGTCCTTCATTGAAAGGTAATAAACTACTAGGGTGGACTAAGAAGAATGTTATTCATTCCTTACTCAAAGAAAGGGACCCAAGCTTTTCTGGTTCCTAAAGTTAATCCATGAATATTTTTGCAGGCCAAGATAAGACGAAGGAAAAATTGATGGTATGTTGACAATGCTTTCTCCTGCCATATGGTCGGTAATAGAGGCAATTTTCTTTCACTAAGATCCTATCAAGGAGGGAGTGTGGGATTTAAAAATAGCAAAAAGAGAAATATAATTGGTAGAGGTAAGGTTGGTAAGTCCCACACTCATGATATTGAAAATGTGTATTATGTAAAAGAATTGAAGCACAACCTGTTGAGTGTGTCTCAAATATGTAATAAAGGGAATCAAATTCATTTTATTTCTAAGAGCTGTATGGTTACGGAGGAAAACACTGGAAACCTGGTTCTCCAAGGAAAAAGGCACAAAAAATATATACAAAGCTGGCATCTTGTCTTCACCTAAAAATGAACTCACGTGTCTCATTGCACTTGATACTGACTCCTTTCTGTGGCATAAAAGAGTAGGGCATGTCAATTTTTCTATGCTAAATAAATTAGTTACCAAAGACTTGGTCCTTGGGCTGCCCAAGTCAAAATTCAGGGAAGATAAAGTTTGTAATGCTTGTATTAAAGATAAGCAGGTCAGATCATCATTCAAATTCAAGAAAGTGGTAAGTACCTCTTGATCTCTGGAACTACTTCACATAGATTTATGTGTACCTATGAGGATTCAGAGTAGAGGTGGAAAGAGTTATGTGTTTATTATTGTTGATGATTGTTCTAGATTTACGTGGACTAGGTTTTTGGCAACTAAGGATGAAACATTTGATATGTTGTGACTTATGCGAAGAAATTGCAAATAAAATAAATAGTCGTGTAGCTAGAATTAGATCTGACCATGAAACTGAACTGAAAATGCTAACTTCCTTGAGTTCTGTGCTGAAAATGGTATAGATCTTTGTACACAACAATGGCAAAGAGGTTCTAGGAAAGTTTGATGCTAAAAGTGATGAGGGTGTATTTCTAGGTTACTCACCACATAGTAAATCTCATAATGTGTACAATAAAAGAACAAAATATGTTTAAAAAGTATTCATATAATCTTTGATGAATCTAACCATTTGGCTGCAAAAGGTATACAGTGTTACACTCCATATTTTCGTACGTGAGAGTACGTCGTAAGCCAATTGATGTAAGCTTAGAAATGAGATCATCTTTGAAAGTATATAAAGTAAGTTAATCATGTTATCTCGGAGGTTACAAATATTGAAGATCATGAACAAAAAGTACAAAGAGGGTTAGAAGGTGCAGAAGCTAAAGAAATTGAAGAAAATAATGCTTCGTCGAAAGTCGACAAGTTGGGAATGTTATAAACCGTACCTTTGGGGTGAGACTAGGGGTTCTTAACATGATAAGAGGTTTATGTTATAACTTATTTTAGTCTTATTATATTCATGTGTTAAGTTTTGAGGTCAAGCGAGTTGTGGAACAAAAGTCGATGAAAGTCATCACAAGTTACGTTCATAAGTTTTACTGAAATTTGGGTCAAATGTCGCTGCAGTTTTCTCCCAATATACTTAAAGTTATGGGGTGATCCACCCATAAAATTGAATATATATGCGTCTATTTTCTAACTCATTAAATCGTTTGTTGATACGATATTGTAGTTGAGATATATATGCATTTTTGCGAGACTGCGCAGACTAGTAGGTGACAACTAGGTGTGTCACCTACTTGCTTAAATGAGAGGACTAAATATGTCCAAAAAGGAGTTATTTCGGGTCGGCCAAAGAGAAATTTCAAGGTCTTATATCCTACAAATATAACACTTATTATATAGCAAAATAACCAGAGATAAGCTCCTGCAAAAATCCTATAAAAAATTGAACACAAACCCTAATTGATTTTCTCTTCTTTTCAAGTTCTAGTTGGAGGAAAACCTAGGGTTTGAAGAACCAAAATCAGAGCTGAGATATTCGTCAAATAAGGTACGTTTATTGCTCTATTTCAATAATTTTTTCTGTTGGAAATGTATGGAAAGTCGTTTTATAATTGTAAGAACTCACTGGACAATGATTGAAAGCCGTGAGTTCGAGATAT